CCATCTCCTCTGCGCTGCCGCCCAGGGAGGCGCCGGCGCCGGCTCCAGCCGCCGCGGCCAGCTGCTGCGCTCCGCGCGCGTAGCCATCGAAGCCACCCTGGAGCTGGTGGCTGTTGCTGATGAGAGCCTCGACTGCGTCCTCGGGGCTGAAGCCCAGCGCTTCGGGGTTCAGCTGCTGCGGGTAGCCGGTCATCCAGTAGTAATCTTCCAGGTGCGCCTTCTGCTCGCTGCCCGAGCCCGGGCTGGGCGCCGAGAAGCTGGGGGAAGGGGGCACTGAGCTGCAAGGCGTGCTCATGGGGGTGGAGGACAGCGAGCCCCCGGCGATGAGACGGCCGCACTGGCTGATGATGCGGTCGGTCTCCACCGGCTCCTTTTTCACTTCAAACTTCATCAGATCGAAGTCATTAACATATTCCATGGCCAGGGGACTGGTGGGCAGGTCGGAGTTGCTCATTGCCAGTTCTGATGCCATTCTCCTGCCTCCGCCGCCGCCGCCGCCGCTCCGCCAGATGGGCTGCAGGAGAGGGACCAGCGGACTGTGCTGGGTGGCCAGCGGGTGAGCCAGCTTGCCGGGCTGGGGCGCTTCTAGCTCGATCGGCGGTGGCTGGCCCGAAAGCTCCGAGCGCGCACACACCCCCCCGCCCTGCCCGCGCCCCCCGCGCCCGCCCTCCCTCCTCCCTGCTCACGCCAATGTGCTCGCTCGCTAGCCCCGGCCCCTCCTCGCCTGCTCGCCTCCGCGCGCGCCGAGCCGGCGGCTTCAGGCTCTGGAAGGTCTTCGGCGGGCGGCGGCTGTGGCGAAGCCTGAGGAGCCCGGCCCGGTGCGCGGCGTCCCCCGCTCGCCGCTCCGCTGCGCGCTTTGCATAAGGAGGGTTCGTCTCGCGGGCTGGGCTGCAGGCGAGGCGCGCGGCGGCCGCTTGGAGCTGGAGGCGCTGCGGGAGGGCGGCTGTCCGGGCGGCGCGGGCCTTGGCACGGGGGAGTTAACACTTCATGCCGCTGGCCTCCTCTTCTGGCTGGCTTTTTTTTTTTTTTTTTTCTCTTTTCTCTCTCGCTCTCTCTCCCTCCGCGCAAAGTGCAAGACAGAGGTG